AGGGCTGGAGGGAGTCCCTCTGCCTGTCAGGAGTGGGGCAGAGAAAACAAAACCCATCTGGATGAAATATCACAGAAAACTTTATAGCTCTAGCAGCTGCTCAGCAGTGGATCTTGCTCCCTCAGGACACTGGTGTCACGATTCTGGAGATCTCAGACCAGTGTAGACCCTTCTTAGTTGGGGTGCCTTAATCAAATAAAGGGTGCCATGAGGGAAGGCGGGGGGGTTACTGGTCTCAGAAATCCTATGATTGGTCTGCCTCATCTTCCAGCTTTAGTTATTTACATGCTTTACCATATTTACGCCTTTCCTGTGTGGGGAGACACCCTATGGCATCACTTCACTATTTCTTTGTGCTGTGGTATGTTCTGTCAGGGTTAATAGCATTTATCTCAAATGCATTTGTTTGTGTATATATATGGCAGACACCATGCAAATGAATTACTAGAGAAGCAATGTATCTTAGACACCTGTTATATGCACATTAGCATTGTCTGAGTTAACATAAATAAATAGGCTCCTGAACTTTTGTGGGTAAAACCCACTTCATCAGATGAGTTGGGGTAGAAATAACTTAATCCAAGGTATATATTTCTACTCCAACTTATCTGAGGTCTGTGAATCTCTAAGGTGCAACTGGCCTACTTAATTGTCTTTAAAGTTACAGACTAACACAGCTGCCCCTCTTAGTTAACAGAGACATTCATACCATATCACGTGAGAGGCCAGCAGAATAAGTCCTGGATGTATGTCCCTTGTCTCTAACCGTCCAGATGAGGAATTTACTTGTTTTAAATGTTTTAGTATTATATGGAGACACTTGGAGAAAGGGGACTTCCTACTGACACTTCAGTCCTGATTTCAGTTTCTGTAGTGAAGAGTTTCTGCTTTATGCACATCTGGCTAAACCCTAAATATCCATTTTATATGTTCCCAAATTGATGTCTAGCTTTGTATCTTAAATTCAGTTAGAAACCAAAATTAATTGTTTGCGTATCCCCATTTTTATAAAGGCTTCTGTTGTGCTATCTACAGCTGTGTAAATTATAGGTTTGTATTTGTTTAAACACTGTACATCTTCACAGCCAGCATAATAAATCTAGGTATGTTAGAAATACTTTTCCAAGCAACTGCTCACTGAGGCTGCATAGAGGTGAGGTGAGAGGAGGAGGAGGTGGTCTTATCTTGTAAAACTCATAAATAATGACTTCACTTTTTAGAGAAATGGCTAGCACGGAATGTCTGTGATGGGTTGATAACTTTTATGTTATATTTTATGCAGTAAAACTTGTAGAAGGTACTAAGTTTTTTGGTACACCAATCTCTTGAATTAATAGTCTGCAACAAAATGTCTCTAAATCTCTACTGAATTATGCCTCTACTTCAGCTTTATTAAAAGATCATCTGTATTAAGCAACTGATTTTGTCAGTTTCTTTAGTGAGTTTTAACTGACATTGAAAATCGTACGTAACCTATAAATGTTAATGTAGTGTTTCCATTATGATATCCATGGATATTTCATAGTATCCCTGCCTAACATGGAAGATGTTGTAAACCTACATTCCAATGCAGTTGATTCATTATTTACTATTGTGTTGAAACTGTTTTGCTGAAAATTTAGAGAGAGATCGATTTGATAGGCTAGAGAGTCATAGGGACTCTTTTGTAAATAGTTAAATGTCTTGTTTGCTGCTGGAGAAACAAAGTGGGTGAGGTAATATCTTTTGTTTGATGTTTGTAGACTTGTTCTAATTCAGATAAAATAAAATAAATTACTTAATGCTATGCCTCTTGTGGAGCATAACTGTTCCTGTGTGTAGAGTTTTGGGGTTTAACTGATTGTCCAGTATTATTTGCATCTTGTCTGTCTTTTTGTTGTGCTATAAACCCCACTTTAAACAGGCTATATACTTGCCCAATCTGCCTTGTTCAATATAATGATTCCAGTCTATGTAAAAGAGTGATACTGGAGTTAGGCGCTTACATGAGATTGTTTCCATGTGTGTTTTGGAAATGAACAAATGACTCTATATGGTCAGTGAGAGGAAAGGAAATTTCTTTGTCCAGGGAAATGGAGCAAGATACCAAAGCAAAAGTGAAACTGGATTCGAATAAATGGTATTGTTAGGGTCAGGGTTTGGGGCCATGACTTCGAGTCGTGTGCTCATTTGGAACAGACACTGGTTCATTAGGAGGAAGGCTCTGAGGGCTCATCATGTGATGAGAGAGATCACTTCCTCTAAGGCTTTAGATTTAATTAAGATCCACTTCATCTGCGTAAACAAAAGTAAAATTTTAGTATGAGCATAACTGTTAAAAATGTGACTAAAGGTCAGTATTAGAGTTTCTGTGGTAGTTGTACGTCCTAACGACAGCATTGTAACATTAGCAATGTACTTCACCACATATCCATCAGTTCAACTGATACAGCATTAGATGGCAAATTGTGAGATTCAAAATCAGATATAAACTTTGGCAGTTTCCATACCACAGGGCTGAATGTTGGACTAAGCTGCCGGCTTTGTCAGTTTCATTCGTTATGTTGGATGTAGGAATTGTTACAATATTGTTACTGGGGATTTACCTGCACTCCTATGCCATGTGACTTCCTGAGGTTGTTTAGCAGAGGAATCTTGTGTCCTTCTCTGAGCTGCAGATAAGACACATGTTGCAACTGATGAGATTTAAGAAATAGTAACAGGAAAGCAAGGGGCAGGAAATTCCATTCCAGTGGTCAACCTGACAAGGAAATTCTGCTTTAAGGAATGTGAGTCCACAAAGATGGAGAGAAAAGTCATTGCAAAGACATGTCCTATGCAAATGTCTTTCGTTGTGTGCAGTTGGCCTTAGGTTAGGGCTATGTGCTAACCACATTTACTGCCATGAGAATTCCATTGTACACCTACAGCAGTAAATCATCCCAGCAAAGCTTCAGTGTTACTCACTGATATGCATGCTGCTGCTCTGTGCCAGGGGATGCTCTCAGGTTGTTGTATAAGTAATAAGCAGCATATTTCCTTGTATTTTTAAAAGGATTTGTAGTTAACTTACATGTCAACATATCACCTCATCAGCTTGATCAATATGGCTGTTCAAGTCAGTTTTACTCGTATCATTAGTCTTAGATTCTGGTTTTCATGCACTGTTTGGGGTTGCATGTGAATTTGGAAATTCAAATCCTAGACGGTTTTAAACAAAACCGGAATTTTAGGCTCCAGCTTCTCAAGTGTGTAATGTGGGAGCTTGCAACATGAATATAGTGCAAGTGTCTTTGTAAAAGAAAGCATTAAAACACAAAAGTTCTGCAGAAACAAACAAAATTATGTTCAGGCCACAATTTTTCAACGAGCCCCACACAAGTGTAGGGTCTGCCTTTCGCTCCTTGGCAGGGTTGTGGTAGAAGTATGTTCCATTTTAGAGACTGATGTCAGTGGAGCTGTGCGTTTTCACTGGCTGACAGTCTGCTCCTGTGACTTTTCTTGTATCAGTGACTTTGATGTCCCTGGTAGCTAGCCCCTTTTGGTTTATAAAACATACAGCATGTCGGAGGAACTTGAGTTTTTTATATGATTGCAGGTTAGATATAATTACAACACACTGGATGTAATTTACCTTGATTCAGCAACGCTTTTCCTATGGGAACCACATACCACAGCTTTCCAGCATCTAGCTCTTGTTTGTGTGAACAGAGACAAACCATAGAGGCTCTTGAGAGGTCATCAAGTCCAGTCCCCTGCCCTCATGGCAGCACCATCGTTCTAGATCATTGCTGATGTTTGTCTAACCTGTTCTTTAAATATCTCCAGTGATGGTGGTTCCATAACCCCTCTAGGCAGTTTATTCCAGTGTTTAATCATCCCAACAGTTAGGAAGTTTTCCCTAATGTCCAACCTAAACCTCCCTTCCTGCCATTTAGGCCCATTGCTTCTTGTCCTAACATCAGTCGTTAAGGAGAATTTTTCTCCTTCCTCCTTGTAAACACCCTTTTAAGTACTTGAAAACTGCTTTCATGTCCCCTCTCAGTCTTCTCTTTTCCAAACTAAAGAAACCCAGTTTTTTCAGTCTTCCCTCCTAGGTTGTGTTTTCTAGACCTTTAATCATTTCTACACATCTTTCTTGAAATGTGGTGCCCAGGCCTGGTCACAGTACTCCAGCTGAGGCCTAATCAGCGCAGAGTAGAGCGGAAGAATGACTTGTGTGTCTTCCTTACAACACTCCTGTTAATGCATCATGTTTGCTTTTTTTGCAGTGGCATCACATTGTGATGACTCATCTGTAGTTTGTGGTCCACTCTGACCCCTAGGTCCCTTTCTGCAGTATCCTTCCTAGACAGTCACTTCCCATTTTGTATGCTGGGGAACAGATAGCCAGCAGTGGGAATTAATAGTGCAGCCTTAAACTAAGGGAAAGTAACAAGGGGGAAGTGGAATGTGCTTTGGGTCGTCTTGTGATTGTGTTCTCTGCTGACCCAGAGGAAGCTGAAGTTGCCTTATGAATTCCAGCAATGGAGCCCAGGAGCTTGTGGGGGTGTATTGTGAAGTCTAGAGCAGCAAGCTCAGCCTCTGCAAATGTGCCATGCTTCACAAATGGGAAGGGCATGATCCATGTGACTTCAATAGAGCTGGCCAGAATATTTTCAGCATCACTTCCTTCCAGTGACATGTACCATTCCCTTGCAACTGCCACCTTTCATGGACAGTTACTGGTTTGGGGGCATGGGAGGGGCTCAGGGTCCCAGATCGGGGAGCACTTATCTCTGGTGGCCCCCCACAAGCAGCTTCCCACCCCTACCCCTCCTGGCAGAGGTGCAGCCAAAGGCTGTACTGCAGGCAGACACATGGCTTCCATCTGTACATGCTGCCCCCCTGCAGCTCCCATTGGCTGTAGTTCCCAGCTGATGGGCTGGGAGCCACGGAGTCAGCACTTGGGGAGGGGGATGGAGGTAGCATGCCTGCAGACTCGCCTTGTGGCACCTCCACCACTGACAGCAGGGTTGGGGAGCCGCTCGTGAGGACTGTCGGAGGTGAGCGGCACTCCAAGCCACGCTCCTGGACCCAAACTCCCTCCTCTTCCTTCCCCTCCCCTGCCCTCACTTCCACTCCCACACCGCTGGTCCATCCAGCCCAGTGTCCTGTCTGCCCACAGCGGCCAATGCCAGATGCCCCAGAGGGAGGGAACGCAGCAGGTAATCCTCATGTGATCCCTCCCCTGTCACCCATTTCCAGACAGAGAGGTTAGGACACTATTCCTACCCACCCTGGCTAATGACCACTGAGGGACCTGACCTCTGTGAATCTAATAACTTGGTGATGAGATATTGAATTGATCATCATCCGCTCATTCCTGTCTCCTAGGTATGCTCTTTGGACAATTCCATGCATGTTAGCAAAGTTCTTTAATCACCACAACTGCCATGAATCGTGAATTGTATCCAGAATGGTTGAGAAGCCCAGCATGACTAAAATGGCCTGCTGTCCCCAGAAGATCTTTCATGGCACTTACGGGTGTAGTACTGAAGCTTCAGGCGATAGCCGAGTTAGTCTGTACAGGAAAAAACAACAAAGGGTCTGGTAGCACTTTATAGACTAACAAAACGTGTCAATGGGATCAGGTTTTGTGGGCACAGCCCACTTCTAGTCCTGACATGGAAGGAAGACTGAAGCCGTTGAGCATATCAGTAGCTTGTCTTCTCAATTGACTTCTCTAGATCACAGACCTGTAGGACTGGCCTAGACCTCAGTAGCTCTCGAGGAGTTCTGAGCCTGCAGAGTCACTGGCAGACACGTCAGAGTTACGGGACGGCTTCTTCAGGAAGAAACCGATCCTTTGCTTGTTCAAGAGTGGTTAACGCTCTCTGTTTGCTAAGTGAGGCCAGAGCTTTGTGGCCACTGCCTAGGCTCGAGCTCCCTTCTGCACCGCCTGCCTCCTCCTCCCCCAATTCGTTGCTGGCCCCTCCTGCCCTGTGGTCAGACCTCCCCATACCTGGGCTCTATGGTCCAGGTAGGACCACAGATGTTGCTGGACCAGAGAGTCCCGGTTAAGGGAGGTACAACTTGTACTTCCTTTTGTTTGTTTTAAACCTGCTACCTATTAATTTCATTTGATACCTAGTCCTGTGGCACCTCACAGACTCAGTTTTATTGGACCATAAGCTTTTGTGGGCAAAGACCTACTTCGTCAGATGCATGTGGTCTTTGCCCACGAAAGCTTATGCTCCAATAAATCTGTTAGTCTACAAGGTGCCACAGGACTCCTCGTCGCTTTTGCAGATTCAGACTAACACGGCTAGCTCTCTGATATTTGACACCTACTTCTTGTGTTATGAGAAGGAGTAAATAACACTTCCCTGTTTACTTTCTCCAGGCATGATTGTATAGACCTTGGTCATATCCGCTCTTAGTGGTCTCTTTTCCAAGCTAAAAAGTCCCAGTCTTTTTAATCTCTCCTCATAGGTAAGTTGTTCTGTATCCTTTATGCTCTTTTTTGAATCTTTTCTAATTCCAGTATATCTTTTTTGAGATGGTGTGACCACATCTGCATGCTTTAAGGTGGTCTTTTGCATATTTGTAGGGGCAGACAGCTTATCTGGTGTACAATTTAGTACGGAGGTACCGATTCTTTGTGGCTTATCACTGTTGTCCTGAAATGTAATGAGGTTCAAGGCCAAGGCCCAGGCCCAGACAACAGTTAGATATGTAAGGGGCAAATGATCTCACACTAATGACAGTATTGGGGCTGACTGGGAAGTCTTGACATTTCAATGAGCTTCATGAAAATCTGTTCACGAAAACGTTAGAATCCAAACCCATGGTAGGGAGTGTCTAGGCAGAGCCGACCACAGCTGCCTCTGGGCTTTGTGTGGAAGGGATATGCAGACTGTTGTCTTCCTCTCGCACAGGGCTAGAAATGATGCTGTGGAGTATCCTGGAGGAGAGCATCTGTGAGAGTTAAGTGCAGAATGGTGGCTCTTCACCTCACTTCTCCGTAGTCCTCCTCTGCCTGTCAGACTGGGCCCAGCTGTAAAACTGCATGGAACGTTGCTGCGAATAAGAAAAACGTAGAAGCCATGAGGGTGGGGACTGGACTAGCTGACTCCCTTCCAGTCCTAGGACTCTGAGTGCCATTTAGAAAGCAGACCCTGTGTGTTAATTTCCTGGAGATACTGGGAGACACAATCTGAGTGGAACATAATTTAAATTCTAGGCGTGTTGCCAAGAGCTGGGATGTGTTGATGCTAAGTGCACTTTCCATCAGAGCGCTCTACTGGAAAGCTGTCTCCTTGTGCCATCGGCATTGGCGAGTGCTGCTTTGCTACAGTGGGGTGCTCCAGTTGCCGCTCGGAGGACCCACGTGTATCAGAACGCTCTGCTCCATCTTGATCTGTGGGAAGGCCCATTTCTGTGGCACATCGCGTAGAGAGAGCTACATCTCCTGCTGATTGCACTAGCCTGTCTGTAGTGCAGAGGCAGCGCTCTGCGCTGCATATCCAGACTGGGTGTGGTATGTCGCCTCCTAGCCAATGTTGCTATCTGGGAAAAGGCTGGGTCCCCTTGCTTAGTCATTTTTACTGATCCATAGAACCTCTTCCAACCCACCCTCTTCTCCCCTCCCCTTTCATTCCCAAAGAGCTGGCTGTGATGTTTCTTATCGCTGTCTTCTGTGCAGTCGGAGTTTTCATCCTGACTCCGCAAGCCAAGTGATTCCCGTTTAAACAGACATAGGAAAAAGGATAACAGTGGGGGTGGAGACAGGCTGTGAGCATTTCTTCATTGAATGGGAGGAGGGAGGAAAGTCTTTGACTTGCCAGACCGCATCTGATTATTTTGCTTTTCATCTTTAGGAAGCTAGATTGGAAGCTGTACATCCTCCCCATTAATAATGTATCTCGCTCACTCATGTTCATGTTCTTTAATGCTTTCTCTTTGGCTGAGGTGGCGGGGGCTGCCTAGTCTTGCCGAAGCGTGAGGGTTAACTCATGCTGATTTCTAGTCTATCAAGGAGAAAAACCTGCTGATGTCAAAGAACAACTTGTGATAGGCCTGCTTTGCGGGAGTCCCCCAAGGAGAAGCGGCTCTGGAAAGTTGAGTGCTTGCTTGGCAGGTGTTGCTGGCAGGATGAGGAGGCTGCTTTCACTGGGTTTTCATCATGAATCCCCTTAATTGAACCAGAGACGATCGTCACTTTTTCTCACCTCAAGTCTCTTCCCCTCTGTTCATTCCTCCTTTTCCTTCCTTTCTTGCACTTCCCTTCGCTTATTTCCCCATCATCAGTTTATTTTTCTTCTTCCTCTCAGACCAGAATTTCATGTGCAGATGCTCTGGGGTCCAGCCTCAGTGCAGAAATCTGGTGTGTTGAAATCCCACAATTGTTGATAGCTCTGTTGTGCTGCAGCCAACCTCCTGTTCTCATGTGATTCACTAAGAGATTTGGCTGTAGGAAACATCAATGAACATTACGACACAATGTGAAGTGCCAGATCTTGACCACCATGCAGCCCAAGCAGAGTTAATAAACATTGCTTTAAATAGCTAGTTTTTGGTGTGCTTTGATTGGCTAACGTGTCTGGGACCCAACCATGCTTAAATATAGTTCTACCAAACAGTGTTAAAATTGATTAGCTCGATCAGTGTCTCTTCATAGATATTAATACAGACCTCGTTGCTGTAGTAGGATCCCTGTGCTTTTAAACACTGATTCCCAGCTTGGTTTGAAGGTTTGTTCAGCTAGGCTTTGGAGTTAAAGAAGAGAACATCTCAATCTATTTATCAAAGTACTGCAACTCCTGTTTTGATGCAGGTGAAACAGAAATATCCTCCAGAATGAATATACAGTAGAACTTCAGAGTTACAAACACCCTGGGAACAAAGGTTGTTTTTTACCTTGAACAAAACAAAGTTCACAACTGAACATTGACTTAATACAGCTTTGAAACTTAACTATGCAGAAGAAAAATGTTGCTTTTAACCATCTTCATTTAAATGAAACAGGCATAGAAATAGTTTCCATAGCTTGTCAAATCTTTTTTTTAAACTTTCTTTTTCTTTCTCTTTAGTAGTTGACATATAACACGGTACTGCATTTGATTTTCATCTCTGCTGCTTCCTGATTGCGTACATCCAGTTCCAGACGACGTGTGTCGTTAACTAGTCAGATAGTAACATGGTGTTCATAACACTGAGATTCTACTGTATTCTCGGGGCCTTAAGAGAAGCATATCTCTTCTGGCTTCATGGCCTTGGCCAGTTTTGTTCTTAAACAATCTCTTACCCACGGACACTTAAAATACAAGGAGGAGGAATCCACCAATGCTTAGTAAACAAAGAAGCCCACAGCTAGCTAGTAATGGGTAGCCGTGCGTTATGTACCGTTGAGGTCGATGTTGAAGTCTCCCTCCTCTTCCTTGGGGAGAGGCAATAAGAACATATTTTGATGGTGGTTTCTGTCGGATGCATGAGTAACATTTCTGTTCTTTACAGCAAATTCCAACTAAAAAGACAAGGCAATAGCTCAAGGGAACAATCCAAGCTTTTGTGATCCTAGGAGTAGTTTGGAGACCTTAGCGAGTGTGGTATTGGCTGAAAGGTCAGAGAAGGTGGGGGCAGGAGAAGAGGAAGCTTTCTCTGGATACAGAAATCCTCTCCTCGTTCCTCACTCAGTGAAAGTGGACTCCATGCTGCCTTATGGGCAACATCACTGTAAGACTGGCTCCATTACCGAATGTAATGGGTAAATAAGACCAGGTAGAACTTCCCACCGCTGTCTGTTTACTTATGAAAATCAACAGTATGAACATATTGTTGCCATCACAACAGAAGAATCCATGTACACTTAATAAAGGGCCTGGATTAAAAATCACAGTTCACTTTTTAAAAACAGCTGGGCTCCCGTATCTGTGTCACAGATGACACTGCACATCATTAAAATAGGAAAACCCAGAAAAATCTCACCTTAAGTGGAGACAATTAAATATGCATGTCCTCAACTTTGGATGGTGAAATAGACCAAAACTCCACATATGTTTCTATTTTTCTTTGTTTCATGCCTTAGCACTTTTGTGCAATGTTTGTATAATTTAAAAACTATTATGAAATCTATATCAATAGATGTTGAACAATCTTTTCTTGGCAACCTAAATTCAGTGCCTAAACTTCTTGTGTCCCTTTTATATATCAAACCTAGCAACATTTCATAAGCAAATTTTACTTTTGTTTGAGAGATAGGACAACCATAATGCTTTATTGACTCTTTCAAAAGGGAACCATTTCCGAAGTAAAGCAAAAAGTGAGGTCACGACAAAAAGCCCTTACATTTTTGTTTTTGATATTATACAAATTCAGAAGGTACTAGCTGGGAAACCCAAACAAGATACAGTATATGTATGAAGTTAAAATCATGTCGCTCTTTAAATGATCTTGCATTCTGGCTGCAGCTAGAATGAAATGATTGGTCATAATGAGGTGGCAGCATGTAGTGCCTACCCTGACAAGTCAAAGCTTTAGATTCCTAATGGCTAGGTTCTCAAAGGAAAGGGGGTTTGTAGGATGGCATCTGTTACTGAGAAGTACCTGCTTAGTTAACGAAAGCTCCAACCCTGCTAACACCTGGCTTAGCTTAGAAATATAAAGCATGTTCTCTCTCCAAACCACCCCATAACTATTAACTCAGCAGAAAAGAGAGCATAGCAAAATAGCACTGCTGAAACCTGAGTCAAATTACTGTTTATTACAGGTGATGTAATGGCTCATTTGGAGTAGGTGCTTTTAAAAGCTGGTTTGCCTCAATGGCAGGGTTTTAAAATAGCCAAATACAACTGCAGGATAAGATCAGATCAATGCACTGCCCTGACACAATACCCATCTCAGGGTGGATAAGAAAAGAATGCCCCAAAATTGCCTTTTGCAAAGCCTAAATCAATCTCTGTGGCCTGTATGGCAAAGTAGGTGTTGGAATGAATTCTCAGCTGTAAGAAGCCGCTACTGTAGTCTGGCTCCCCCAGTCCTTCCCACCCACTGAGAGCCCAAGGCTTTCCAGCGCTGTGGTAGGTGGGATTTGAAGCGCAGTATCTCGGGGATCACATTTCTGACATTGTTTGGGGGTTGGTGCTGCAGAGAAATGAAGCAGGGTAAGCTGGGACTCCATCAGCATGTGTATGGAAACTAATATTGTACTGATTGGTACCCAGGTACGGGTAACCTGTAAATAAGCAGAGGAGCCGGGGACCAAGCCTTGGGGAATGCCGCACGTGTTCTCTCTCTGAGATGATGAAATACTGTTGATGTAAACAGCCCTGGTTGTTTCTGGTTTGCTCTGTCAGGCTCACAACAATTAAACAGACAAGCAAGGAAACACAGTGTTTATGGTCTCTTCACCTGCATGCTGTTCTGGCAGGGGCTGGTTCCCCATTGCTTGCTCGCTCAGATTACCCTGAATACAGTTTACTTTGGTAAATATTATTTCAGCTGCTGTTAAATATAACCTGCAAGCTCTTTCATCCGCTTGCTGTGTGCCCTCAGACAAGTAATTTCACTTTGCTGCATAGGTAAAATGGGAGTGATGCTCACCTCCTTTTTAAAGCACTTGGAAGCTGTCTGTGAGATGTGCCAAGCACGGTGTAAATGTAATTTAGATTATACATAAAAGTATTTCTAGTTTAGATCAGTGTGGTGTATAGATGGGGCCCCTTGGAGCAGGGGGGTAGGTAGGGCATTGGCTTAGCCAACAGGAGATCGGAGTTACCTGCTCTATGAGCGTGGGGAAGTCAGTTCTCTGCTGTAGTCTAATACGAGTTATGGGGCTTCATAGAATTTCATCCAGTTAACTCTATATGGTCTGTCATGCACCTGTCCCCAGACTGGACCATCTAGTGGTCTCTTAGCCTCAGCTCTCCAAGTCAGTGAAATCTGGTGCATAATATTGAGCATGCACCTTCATGTTTTTATCCATCCTCCATCTCTTCCCTTTGCCAGGCCCCCAGGGAGAGAATCTTGGAAGTTTAACATCAGTCAGTAGTCCAATCACATTTCTGTGGTGCCAGCAGCAATTCTCAGTTAATTAATCATATAGCAGAGAAACGCCAGGAGCCGGTGGCATGTGGATATGAGGAGACGCCTAGGACGAGGGTATTTTCAAGGGAAAAATCCCTTTGGGAATGTGGGATGACTTTCATGCACAATCTTAAGAACGCTTTTTGGATTTCTGAAACGGGGGGAAGTTTCCACACTCTAACTTTACGCCATTTCTGCTGTTGACTTTTCGCACGCCCCTCACACTACTCTGATTTCATTTTCTGATCAACATGTGCCAGTCTAATGAGGCATCATGTTTGAAGTACATCCTTCAGTTATGGTAATCAGAAAGAGGCTGGTCAAAGTCCCGTGGCGACTGCTGTGTAATAAAACAATGAGATGCCGTTTGTGAACTTTTAGCCCTCTTTAGTGATGTGTCTGTATGTGGCCTAAAACCCAAGGTGTGATCATTTGTGATGATGGGTGTGTTTCGGAAGAGTAGGTTTGTTTAAACACTGCAGTGTGACCAAATCTCAACAACACTTTCTTCTTCTGCCTCTGTGTCTGTAGAACTTCACCGCGCTAAGGGTGTTCACAGAAGGAGTGAAAATGTAGTTTTGCTGTGTTCCTCCCCCGAAATGGCTGAATTTCAGTGAGAGATGAAGTGACCCTTTGTTATCCATTCTCGTACATACTTGAGGCTTAGCATTAATAACCAGAGTACTTTGGGTGTTCTAGAAAAAAACTGATAAAGTGCAAAGTAATATTGGTAATGGTTTTGTTGTGATTGGTTAATCACATCAACGGAGGTTTCTTCGATTACTGTACGAGCAGATTACGTTTCTGTAAGGATGACTTTGTGGCCCAAAGCATGGTTCTAGGGAATCTTGAGTTCATTCCCAGCTCTGCCCGGTCTTATGGTGACCTTAAACAACTTCCTCGTTAGCCTCTGTAAATGATTACCCCGTGCCTGGGAAGTATTAGAGAGGGGAGAAGCCTGGCTGTCTGATTTGAGTTTTGTGCACCGTGCTGGTAAGAAACTCAACCGTCACAAGCAGAATAATGTCTTTGCTTTTTTCTCTCCCTTTAGGAAAAATTTTGCATCCCACATGAATTACGAAAATCCTCCACCATATCCAGGCCCAGGTCCAACTGCCCCATACCCACCATATACCCAACAACCAGGTGGTCCTCCAGGCCCCACCCCGTACCCTGGCTACCCGCCAGGGCCTGCTGGGCCGTATCAACCAGGCCAGCCGGGTTATCAGGGCTATCCACAGTATGGATGGCAGAATGCACCCCCACCTCCTGGACCAGTGTACGCAGATGGACCGAAAAACACAGGTACGCTAAGCAGCATGGTGCCTTAACCGCATTCTAGTGCCGCACTCTGTTTTGCAAGTTAATTACTTGGTAACGTGCTTGTATGTTTGAAATGAATAAGCCTGTTCATCCTGGAGAGAGGGGGAGCGCTCTTCTCTGGCCTGTGACCCTGCTAAGGGGGTAGGTGAAGCTGGGGACTTCTGGAGGGGAACTGCTGGTTTTGGTTTCAGCTCCAATGGCGGCTGTCATTTTCAAACTGTTTGTTTTTTCTGCTGCAGCTTCTGTTCATGGCTCATTTTCTGACCAGAGACTTGTGCAGTGTCCCTAAGCAGCCTCGCTGGGGGCTCCTGAGAGGACTGCTTCTAACAAGGCATGTTCACAGCCCTTTTCTGCTGAGCGTTAGCCTCTGTTCCACCTTTTTTCATTTTTCCTCGCTTACCAGCCAGGCAGGGCTAGGCTGAGACTTTTAAAGCCTCCTAGGGGATTTAGATGCACAGTTCTATTGAAACAGTCGGAGTTGTGCATGTAAATCTCCTCAGCAGCTTTGAAAACTTTAGCCCCAGCGTTCTCCTCCATGTGGCTCTGGGTGACTTTCTAGCCCATTAATCTCCTTGGGCAGTCACCACTGTATTTCCCAGTATGACTCCTGAGGGAATTGTGCACCACTGCGCATGTGCTGAATGCATGCTCCTCCCCCAGATTTCTGTGCTTCCCTGCAGAAAAATAACCCTCCCCCAGTTTGTTTTGGGTGCCCAGGACAGCTGGCACTGAGAGAAACCGCTGTGCGTAGGACTGGGGAAGACCTTGCTGGTGGTTCCTACCCTACTCTGGGCTCATCTGCTAGTCCTGTCTGGGACAAGCCTCTTTTCCTGCATGGCATCTGGAGCCCGGTCAGGTCCGCCCCAGACTTCTCCCCCAGGTCCAGGGAGCTCTGCGAACCCTCCCTGCCTCCTACACCCGTCGTTCCTCAGCTGCAGGGGAGGGATCCCTGTAGAGGGAGCTACTCCCCACCCGCCCCGAGCATCCAGATTCTCTCGGCCCTAAACCCTTCTGCCGAGCCTCACTGCCCCCAATGAGCCCATCTCCCACTGAGCCCCCAACCTGCTGCACCTGGATCCCCGGTCCCCCAGGCGTTGGACCCCTCACCAAGCCCCCTGCCGAGCTCTTCCCCTCCAGACCTGCTTCCTTCCCACTGCCTTTACCTGGACCTCTCTGCAGAGCCCCGTTACCATGGCACCCAGAAATCCCCTAAGCCCCCCGATCTGCTCACTGAGCCATCCCCAGCGGATTACCTTGCACAGCCTCAAACCTCTCAACCCCTGTCTGGATTCCGCCATACTGTCAGTGTGTGTACAGGCAGGTCCAGCACCGCCTGCCTCCTCCCGGAAAGACTCTTAGGGGCTTGGGATTGTTTCATCTGTTCCTTCAGCCTTTTCCAGCGCACAAGCGTGTTAACAGTCCTGTGCCGGAAAAGGAAACCCTCTTCTGCTACTTGCATGGCCAAACCCGGCAAGTTTGGCACGAGCTGGTGAAATCGTTTGCAGCTGTAGTTCCCTGGAAGCGTTTTTACAGATTGCCTTACAATTACAAAGTGATTAGACCGAGCAGGGTTTGAGAGAGCAATTCTCTCCTGCAGCGAGCATCTCCGCTGCTACCTACGATGGAGAGGTTGGCCCAAAAGCAGAGCTTAAGGTTTCCCAGTTGAAGGCGATGGGGCAGTTTTGTTCTTCTGCAGTGCTGGGAAGGCCCCAGAAAACACAAGACTCTGGGGAAATGGTATTTGCTCATCGTTTGTTATGAGACGATGAAAATATCAGAGTCTAATCTCTGTGGACCAAACAGTGGAAAATCTGGCAAGTGAATAGGAGTCGGTGGATAAGCTAGTGAAACCTGGAACCTCGTTTTGGCCATAATGTATCTTGTAAATCGAAGTCCTGGAAGAAGTCCTGCTGCCAGACATGTCTAGAGGATATAGCACAGTTTGGATGCTTTTTAATAACTCTCGCCCTCTGACAAGATACCTAAGCTAGTTTCCTGAAAACCCTTGGGTTGTAGGTGCTAGAGCGCCACGGAACTGAAAGGATGTGCGTGTGCTACAGCTCCCAGGGACTGAAGCGGATATCGATGTGCTTTGCTTAGGCCTAGAACGCAGCGGTGACCTGTGTCCTGGAGCTGTTGCGGGATTGTTGTGTGTCCAGCTGTTCAGATTGCTGTTGCTGTCTTTGGGCTCACATAGAAGCGGCGTTACTGCTTGTGTTGCTTTAGCCTAGAAATGCTCTTTGCCGGTGCGGATTAGCGGATGAATGTTCTCATTAGTGAGGCCTGCAGTTTTACTTGGATAAGTGGCCAGTGCCGTAAGTGCCCACGTACTGCGGACTGCTGGGAACCCCCCTGCTCTGTGTGAGCACAGAGGCTTCTTGTTAAATCCCCACGGCAGTCCTGGCTCCCAAGCTGCTACTGCCACACAAGAGCCAGGAGGGGGGCTGGCTGAAATGGCTCTGTCCCCCAGGGCTGGGGATGGGGAGAGACTATCAGTGGGACAGAGGGTAGGGTACTGGGGTCCCTCGGCACCGTCAGAGGGCTGGAGTGTCAGTATCTTTGTGTGTGTCGATGTAACAAGCCCCCCCCTTTACAGGACCGCGTCAGCCCTGTTCCCCCCGCTGGGGCCTGCGTTCATGCGTTCCCCGTTCGAGTGGCCAGATGCAGGCTGGCTCCACTCAAGCTCACGTGCTAAAAATAGCTCCGGTGAGCCGGCCGATGGGTGACGCCATTCCGGTGAGACTTACTCATGCTGCCGTTTTAGTCACAGGCGATGAAAACGGCATCTGGAGGTTTGCTCTGCCCTGTGATTTCCCAGCAGGTGGGGGACCTGTTCTGTACATTTCCCAGTGTCCGGATAGCCAGAGGTTACTGACCTAAGGAACAAAAGATCCAAAGAAGCGGCTAAGGCGTTGCAAAAGTGCCAGACCCACGCCTCGAAGAGGAGGGAGGGGAGCGGCTTTGAGGGTTAGGCTCCCGGAAGAAGGGGAATTGGAGTGACCCAGAGGGGCCCATGCGTTGGGCTGGCGCCGGAAGCAGTGTAGTACTGCAGGGCAGTCAAGTATGAGAGCAGTCGTTGCTCTCACATTGTTACACATTTCAAAGTAGCCTTCCTTCAGCACCTGTGAAACTGCAGGGAATGGTGATGAGGGTGCCCGGCCGCAGCAAGAGGCGTTACCCGACGCTGGGCAGGTTGGTCTAGCCTTTGTGAGCGTTCTGGTTTCATTTTAAACTAAATCTTTGCAAAGCTCCTCCTCCTCCTGACTCTCTGGTACAATAAATCTTGTCCTCTCGCCCTGTCTGATTTCCAGTCTGATGGAAGTGTGATTTGAGCAGGACGACTGGACCGGGCGGCCTCCCACTTCCCAGGTGGGCGCCTTAACCCCTGGACTAAAGAGGCATTCCCGCTCTCCAGCCCAGTCACTCTTGCATGATTTATACACAGTGTAACAGCTTCCACAGGAGAGGCCGAGGCAACCCCACACCAGAATACCCCATAGCTCAGTGGTAAAAGCACCCCTCTTCC